AAATTTTTTAAAATATATATATATATAAATACATATTTTATCATTGTATTTTTATATGAAATTAATGTATACATAATATATGTATAAATAAAAAGGTATATAAACAAATAAAATACATCTCAACACAAATAATTAACTTTCTATCCATTTTCCGTCCAATTTTGGAAAGATTGATTTTGGTGAGCTGGAAAAAAAGTTAATTCATCTACTTTTTCATCATTCCTACTTTCCTTCCTTACCAAACATGATGTTTTATTTATTCTTTTTATTTTTCATCCTTTTATTTTTTCATTATACCAAATAAAACATTAGAGTTGGATTATATATATTTATCTCTCATAAATATCTTAATCTTGATGTGGGTGACTTACTTTTAATCAAATTAAAAGAAAAATTAATTGAGATATAAAAAAATTAATTTAAATAACCTTGACCATTAAACCAACAAAAAAAAAGTCAGACCACCAGAGTTGAGGAACCTTTTAAGAGACAAGCATGTCCAGGACAAAAATTCGTACGTTGTATGCCTCAGCTTCGACAAAGTTCAGCGTCTTGTTTTCCTCACTTAGTAAAAGACATAGTAATGGAGCTGAAGCTTAACTTAAATGTCCACATCTATGATTCCTCATCATCGTATATATCTTGGCCACAATTTCAGCACTTCAAGATGTCACTACTGACAAACACTACTCTTAATTTTTAGGGTGAATTACGTCAACACAGCTTGAAGTTTGTCACTCGTGCACTATTTAGTAGGAAGGATGAAAAGTATGAGATATATTTTTTATCTTTTAATGATGAAAAATAAGAAGGATATATTTTTCTTCTTTTATATTAGGTTGGATAGATGAAAAATAAAAATGACTATTTTTTTTTTGTACTGGTTAAAATTAGGAGTGATAATAAATTCGAGTCATGTCGTATTAAATTCGTGGTGAATTATTACGAGTTTGTATCGAATATTAGTCAAATCTAATTTAACTCATTTAACTAATTGTGTTGTGTCGAGTTGCAAGTTGGCCTATTTATTTTCGTATCGAATTCGAGTCGTGTCATCGTGTTGAGTTGAATGATGGAAAAAAAAAAAATTTAACTTAAATTTTTTATTTTTTATTTTTTTAAAAATTAATTTTCAAAATTTTTAAAAATATATATACATATTTTACCATTATATTTTTTTATATGAAATTAATGTATACATAAGATATATAAACAAATAAGATACATCTCAACACAAATAATTAATTTTTCATCCACTTTCCTTCCGATTTTGGAGGAATTGATTTTGATAAGTTTGAAGAAAAATTAATTCATCCACTTTTCAATCATTTCTACTTTTATTCCTTACCAAACATGATATTTTATTTATCCATCAAACTTTTCATCCTTCTAACTTTTCATTTTTCCACTTTTTCATCATACCAAACAGAACATTAATCACTTAAATTTCTTGATATTGAAAATATTACACACAGATCCCTTAAAATTTGTACGCGTATAACACTTAGATCCGTATCGTCAATGTCAGTTAGTATGTTTGTTAATAAATTATATTTAAACCCCTAAATTTTATAGGGATATCAAATACTTAGACCTCTTAAAAATAAAATATCAAATATTTTAAGTTTTATAACCAAAATTCATGTTTTATTGTATAATTTATTGAAATAAAATCAAAAATAAAAATATAATTTCTTCTTAAAAAATTGTAATTAGTATAAAATTGTACTATCTATTGAAATAAAGCTAAAAAATCAAACAAATAATCTAAGTCATTCATAATAGAACATAAATTTTACAACTAAAATTTATATTCTATTATGTCATTTATTGAAATAAAATTAAAAATAAAAATCTATTTATTTATTTAAAAAATATAATTAATATACAATTATACTATTTATTAAAATAAGACTAAAAAATCAAACAAATGATCAAATTGTAATGAACATAATATCTACTAACTTTAATTAGGATACTTTAATAGCTTTATTTGATCGTTTAAACGACCAAATTAAATTCTAATAAATAATATAATTGTATACTAACTATAATTTTTTAAGAAAAAATTAATCTTTGATTTTTGATTTTATTTCAATTAATATCATAATAGAATATAAATTTTTATTATAAAATTTAAAATATTTGATATTCTATCTTTGATTGCAATATATTTAATTTCAATATAACATTTTAAACTTGAGATATTTAAATATTACATGCTTACAAATTTCGGAGGAGTATAGATATAATTTACTAATAGATATACTAATGGGCATTGACGGTAAGGGTCTAAGTATTATATGCGTACAAACTTTAAAAAATCTCTATGTAATATTTCAAATGTCAAAAAATTTAAATAATTAAGTGACAAATTTCAAAAGATTGATCGATCGCAATTCTCCATAATATTTATTGGATTTTGATCTCTTTCGATACACATCCGCTAAATATATCTCAATACCAGATCATCCAACGTAATGGTGGGAAACCCACTTGTTAGAATACATTCTGAGGTTGCCATACCCTCGACTGACACTGGATGCTCTTTTAACTCCCGTTTCACTCTACCCAGCCACTAGAAGCCATTCCTACTTGCCGGTTGCAGAAAATTACAAGATGATCCAAGGAAGCAGTTCAGTTTCGACAGCCACTAAATAAAGAAATATTTGGTTCCTGCTTTCAATCTATGAAGGGTTAACAAGATCCCAATTTATCTTCCACAGCTACATCATCAATCAGAGTGCATAGTGGAAATAATAGCAAATGAAAACAACAAGAAGAATTTTCATAGTTCCCAATATTCTACTTCTTGGGTATTACAATAATGGTAACGTTACAGACATTGATAATCTTTAATCTCTCTGGCAATTGTAAAATCACAAAAGAACTGAAAACAAGATAACAATGTTTTCTCACTATCAGTCATACAATATGGATGGAAGTTGAAAAATCCCTTATGGCTTACTACCAATGTAAAGAAACTGACTATGCACTTGTCTTTATTGGCTATGCAGAATATACAAAACATTGTAAAAAGTAATCACATAATCGTGACAATTTTTTTTGACCCCTTGATTAGTTGGCTTACAATAGACACCTGGGTCATTAGAACACAAATTAACGACAATGGAACGATAAGTCAACTATAAGCTTCACAAGTTGCTCCAAAATGTTAACACAAACCAAATTGCAGGAATACCCAGTTTATGCTTTGGGATAACCAACTAATCAGGCCTAAGTATTTCAAATATGGCTCATTGTTAAAAGTACTGTAAAAATGAAAGCTACATTTAATCAACACGGATAGATCATGATGCTTCTCGCCAACAACGAAAGCTAGAGAATGTACCCTCTGAATTTCAACCAAAGATTCATTAATGATCAGCTTAGATGCAAGCCTNACCCAGTTTATGCTTTGGGATAACCAACTAATCAGGCCTAAGTATTTCAAAGATGGCTCATTGTTAAAAGTACTGTAAAAATGAAAGCTACATTTAATCAACACGGATAGATCATGATGCTTCTCGCCAACAACGAAAGCTAGAGAATGTACCCTCTGAATTTCAACCAAAGATTCATTAATGATCAGCTTAGATGCAAGCCTCCAAAGAGCACCCTGGCAATGTTGAGATTTCATTGATCCTTTCAATATGAGACATGGACCTAGAATTCCATATTTTTGGAGCAACACAACAGAATTGTGAGGCCAGCAAGGCATGTATCTCACAAGGGCAAAGGACCCTCTACTTGAAAACCATTGCACATTTCTGGCTACAGAATGTGATTATTTTATCTGAAGGTCCACTACTTTGATTCAAAGGCCAGAGAGAGAGAGAGAATCTAATTTGCATTATATAACATCATGTCATTTATCAATATATTGTCCCTTACAGATCTTTATGCCCAAGAACCCAGAGAGATTTTCACACTTTTCAGTAGAAAAAAGGAAGATGGTCAGTTAATGCAATAGCTAATTCACACAAAATTTGAGTTTGTCTCATTATCAAAGAGGGATACTCATTAGTGATTATACAACTCACTCGACAAAAATTTGTCCAAACCTTTTGGGGTCACCTACAACAATCATGTTTCGTGATTGTACTCTACTAAGGGTTATACTTTTTGTTAAAAACTCATTAGTGATTATGCCTCACAAAAAATAGAAGACAAAATTTAGTGAAAGTTTGACTTTATGCATGATTTGTGAATGAGCCTCCTGGCATGCTAAAACTTGAGATATAAATGCACAACAACGTTTTTTTGGAAAAAATGCACAAGAAAAATGTTATTAAGGTGGGAAACAAAAAATCAGTACACAAGAAGGATTAAGGGTGAGGTTGGATCATGTGGAGTTGCCACAGCGTTCTTGGACAAGTTCAGTCATGGGCTTAATCAAGCGGGTGAGATAGGTTCTGTTCCACCAAACAACGAGAGGGCTAACTGCTCACCATTTCGCTACAGCTAGAAGATCACACAATCTCCTCAAAACACAATACAGTATAAAAAATTTTAAAGAGAAAAGCTTACATGGACACAAAAATTTTAAAGAGAAAAGCTTACATGGACACAAAAATAAGCACAAGCATTCAGACCCTAAACTAAATCCCTAATTTCATTATGGATGAACACTCACAATGGTCACACAAATGTTTTCGTGTAATAAAGGCTTGTTTCAAGAAAACCATATTTTATACCATCAATCACATTGAACTTATAAGAACTTCATAAGATGCATGTGATTTGGTGGTATAAAAAATACTATATGAGAACCTTCAAAAGCTTCTAATTTAGAAATGTGTAATGCAAAAATGGAAGTGTGTTTAAACTTTATATCACATATCGAAAGTTATCCACATAAGAAGCCACACAACCAATATAAGATATTCCAAATCCATTGTAAACAACACAAACTTGATGCACTTAATGTTCAAAATCAATCTAACAAAACAAACATGTCAAACCAAACTATCAACAACCAAACATCTATACCACAAAATTTAAGAAGGACTTGTAATTTTCATTATAATTCGAGTCATTTTTGCTCCAATCAATGTCACATTTTTTGCCCCAACAAATTTAGATTTTTGAAACAACTTGACAATTTCCTTCACCTCGCCATCCCCACACTCCTGCACAACCACAACACAGACCCCTCCAACCCTTACGGTCCTCTCCATCTCTCTCACATACCTATTCGGAAACAAGGCTAGGTCAAGGTGTGCACTGAACCCTAAATCAAACACATTATCGAAGAACGGTAAATTATGAGGGTCAGCACGACTCACCAATGGTGGTGAATCAATCAATTCTACGCCAGTGACGTCAGCAACACCGAGCTGGTTCAAAGACATGACGGCATGGCCAGGTCCAGCGGAGAGGACTAGGGTTTTGGAATGATTGGAGAGAAAATTGAAGGTTTGGAGACTGAGGAAGATGGAAGAGTACGAAGAGATGGTGTTGGACCAAGTTTTTGTGGACCATAACCGGCGGTTGCGCTTTTCTAGGGAGGTGAATGATCGGTGTGATATTTCACATGTGGATTTGGGGAATTTGTGATGGGGTTTCGGGTGGGTAGAGGAAGATGTGGGGTCCACACAGGTCTCTGGGGTTTGGAGGAAGAGGAAGAAGAGGGTGACTGTGGCTATGGCGATGGAAACGAATGAAAGTTTGTTGAGGAAGATTTGTATGTGCCTTTCCATTTATTGAAATGGGTTTGATTTTGTTTTGCCAGAGGGGTATTGGATTTGTATGTCTGAACTTCCTAAACTTCAGCTTCCTGAAAACAAATATTTTCTCAATGCGTATCATAATAAATGAAAATATCAAAAATATGGATTAAATATCATTTCACCAAAATATGTTCACAATCTGAGGAGAACAACAAATTCAAAGTGTTTCAACCCACTTTATAATCATAAATCATAGTCAAAATATCTAGATAATAAATAATTCACATGTACTATAAGTCAATAACATTTAAGCAATGCCAAGGTATCTAAAACATTTAAGCAATGTCAAACTGTCTCACGACAACTACGCAGTATCTAAATCAACAACATGTAAGTCATTTCAAGCTATCTAACAACTTTGACACAGTGGATACTCCTCAAATCACTAGTTTTTCAACAAACCATGAGCATTTCCATAAAACATATTTGATTCATTATTTGCTCAACTCAACACAAATCATCAAAACTTCTTTTCACATAGTAAAAATAACTTATATTAGTCATATAGTTTTATTTCTCAAACACTTAGGATGCATTTAGGTAACATGCGAACCTATCGAGCGTTTTTCCAAAAAATAAACTTTTAACCTTACTAAACCAAATTGGTACAACACCAACTTGATTATAAAGTGAACTTCCTAAAGTTTCTAATCATAAGTTATGAGCTCTAAACGACATCCGAGCAAAGCATTAACATTATTTTCCATCGGAAATTAAATCTGCCATTTCTAAAAAATCCTCAATTTTTACTCACTTTTGAACAAAAACCTGTATTTCTACGGATGTCTTACCATATACCGTTGCAAAGCTCTCTGAGTCTAGTTTCCAACAAAATTGAAGGTATGTCGATCCAAGTTTTCTATAAAAAGTTATGCCACAGGGTGTCAAAGCTGTCACGTATAACCCCAAATCCAAATTTTACAATATAGTTTTTATTGATCCAAACAAAACCAATCCATTTTGTACCACATCCAAACCATAATCTATTCGATAAACTTCCATAAGTAGAAAATCAATCAAATACCGAACTAATTTCTAGCTTGCATAACGACATATAACAATTTCTTTATCCAAAGAACTATCAACTAAAAATTCCAAACCAACATCATTTGGAAGAATTTAAACTAGTAGATATGAAATACAAGTCTTCACAAACATCATACTAAAATTTTATAAGAAACAGAGTTAATTTCACAGTTGGATTCAAATTGAAACTCACCTCTTCCTTTTCTGTGTTTCTTCTTCTCCATTCTCTAATCTTCATCTCGTTTCTTTTTTTCCATCTTTTGTTTGTTTTTTCCTTTCTTATAAATCCAACAACTAACTTCCACCTCCAATGATTACACCATTGTACACTAATTACACTTTCACCCTTTAAAAAATGTCACCTTCATAATTTACTCCTGTAACATTTTTTCCAATAATTTCAATACTTATAATTTAACCTCAACCATCTCATCTTCAATTCAATTTCATTTTTGTAGCTTAAATATAACATCATGTATGATGATTAAATTGTCTTAATTCTAACATATTTCAAACTTAACCTGCCAAAGTTGCGGATAATCACACTTACCACCTCAAAACTTTTAAAATAATTTACTTTCACCATTACTTAAAATTAAATATAATGCAATGTATGCCTAGGTCTCACAACAAGATTTTCCTATAATTTAATTTAAAATCTCAATTACGCTAACTAATGTATTTAGTTTTTTTTTTTTTTTT